AATACCTGATGCTTTGACTAATATCTAGATTTATAATTTTATGTAATTCCGTACATATTTATGTCTTATATTGCATATTATCATTTGTTTTATAGTTAAATTATTATTTATGTTATTATCGTCTATGCTTTGATTTTTATTTATATTATTTTTATTGTATAGCTTCACAGCTTAAGCATTCTGGGCGCTGGGCATTCTTCCTTGACTTCTATCTCATGAATTTCCATATCATTTCTTCAATCACTGTATACGCAAAGACTTCTGTAGTAGTCGGATATTTGGCGAGGAAAATCGTTTTGGTTTCAACGAAATGTTTTTTTTCTCAATTCTCTACAGCTGTGTTGTGAATTTCCACACATGCGCGGCTTCTTTGAAAACTTTTTTCCGAGCTAGCGCACTTAAAATTTACTGCGGTAGGGTTTTTACCACCGCCTAGCACTCTTGCTTTTCTTTGATGAAAGTTCTTTCTTCATCGCGTTCACCATATGTCCTTTATCTCCCTCTTTTTCAATCGTTGAGAACCCATAAGCGCTGTATCTCTATGCTATGAATTCGAAGCAGAAAAGAGTGAAATACACTTGTGAGAAAAATAAGCAGAAATTGTACCCTGAGGAAGCATCGTCTTATCCATTTTTTACTATCGTTTACGTTATTGTAATTTGTAAATCTGTTTCTCGTTTGCACAACTACGCCTGTGGTGCACCAAAGCTCATATGCATGAAAGTTTTTGCTCCCCCAGTGACTGAGAAATATCCCATTCTTGAAGCACCAAAAGTAAATACAAAAAATTCGCTTCAATTTCATATGTATAGGCTATTGCCCGACGAAGGCGCAAATTTGGGCGCGAACGCGGCTTTATTAGCCGCAGAGCGCGTGAGGCGTAGGATTTACAACGCTGAAGATACGTGCGCGCCGCGTTCGCCGCCGCTCAATTAACACTGCTTCGGCGCCTTCGTTATGCAGGTACTCTTTACACTCGAGTCGGGCGATGAATATGCGCAATTGCACACAACACTGGCGTTTATCTTCAAAATCATGTTTTCTTCAGTTTCCATGTTTTTTGAGTTCGACTGCTTCCACAATTGTGACGAAAATCGAATTCGTGGAAGATATGGGCCAAGAAAGCATTTTGACGCGCAACGTGTATGTCCTGCAACCGCAATTCACGGACATTTTAACTGTATTTGTATTCTTTGAACAAGTTTTAAGCTCTATACTGTTCGAGCTCGCAAATTTACTTTACAGCCCCCTCCCCTCCGCCCTTTCAGAAATCCGACCATCCTATGCGTGATCGCACTGTTTATCGGCTGTGTGCGAAGCACACGCATAAAGCACCCGACCAACTTGTTCGATGAACACTGTGTTTATCCTCGCTTGAACACGAGGTATTCGCTTAATGCCTAACAAGATTTGATAAGTACGAAATGGCACTGGGCCATCGGCACTATCCTCACGCTGCGCTCACACAATGCTTTCAATTTTCACAAATCGCATGGGGTGAACTTGAATTGGTTTCGGATAATACAGATTTTCAAAACAGCTGATACAGCACTCAAAAACCTCGACCACCCTTTTAGGTAGGTGCCAGAGTAAGCGAATATTTCGTTCAAGTTGGGGTCCCGCGCAGAACTGGCGTTAAATCATTGTGGCACAACGCCAAGTTGGCATTACGCCACAATGATTAGTGATGCCAGTTCTGCGCGGGACCCCAACTTGAACAAAATATTCGCTTACTCTGGCACCTACCTTACAGTTGCAGCTGATTTTTCGTTGATAACATTATGCTTATGGCGACCTCACAATAACATAAATATGGGTGAAGGACTATGTAGGAAGGCCGAATGTAAGAGGGTCCGGACGGACTTCTTGCAAAAAGCACCTCCATGCATGTGAAAGAGTGCTTATTTGTTGCAGATGACCGTGGGGAAGCCCGACTTCGGCGACATATAGTCCTCTACCCCATCAATTATAGGGTGTAGGAGAACGAAATTCGCCAACAGGCAACAACTCCGCGGACCAGTGGTCCTCTTATCATGCTAGTGAGTGCCTTGTGGCCTTGTGAGGACCAGAGTCCGCCCAGTCGGCACTCGGACATTCATGCTTGAAGGCAGCGGCTCGCCAAAACCGAACATCCCGCCATTTTGGCATAGAAGATTGCTCGCAGGTACATAGGTGCCAGAGTAAGCGAATATTTTGTTCAAGTTGGCGTCCCGCGCAGAATTGACGTCACTTGGATTGACGCCAGCATGGTGAGTGACGTCCATTCTGCCCGGGACCCCAACTTGAACAAAATATTCGCTTACTCTGGCACCTACCGCACCCCAAACATGAGAACAAAGCAGGTCCGAGCGTACAGCATGCTGCCCTTGCCTAGAAAACCCCGTTAGCGCAAGCCATTCTAATTCGCGCGGACGAGCTTGCGATTCTCCCTGACCCGTCAGAGAAGGCATGCCGCAGTGTTATATCTGCGAGGGTGCCGCAACGACTCTACTTCTCTAACCATGGCGGGACATGCTCCACTCGTCCAAATACAAAATGGGAGGCCTTTGAAAATGGTGGTTTTTGCCATTTTTGCACTCTTCAAGGTGGACCTTCGGAACCAGCGCCTCGAATTACCCCAGGGAAGCAAAAAAAACTTCAAGTCGAGAATCTGCCGAGCCGCTGCCTCCAAGTCCCGCAAGACTCTAAACTACAAAACTACAACTAGAAACTACGCGACTAAAAAGATAGTCTTGCGCGAGAACCCGATTTTGTTCCGAACTTAGGGCTGGCATCAGCTGGGGGCTTGAGTAGGAATGTGTTCCGCATCTTTAATACCCGTAATCATAATAGACAACATCCATTTCAGAGGCGTACCTATTTCAGTCACTATTTCAGTCAATGAGCTCATTTTCCTAGGAAACCCGGACCTAACAAACGGCGCCATCTAAATCTACTTAACCGGCTGCGCGGGCGGTCGCGTGGCGCCCTCACCGCGTGTCGGGACCTAGGGCTTGCTTGGCGCTAGCTTTCATTGTGCTTGAGCTGCTTGTTTCTACTGAGTAAGAAGAATGTTCGAAGACTTTTCCAGCAGAGTTCCAGCAGAGTTTACTTTTCATTTTCATATAGCGCGTTTTCGGACGCTCATAAATTCCCAGGGACAAGCAACATAATCAAGACTTCACACAGTTGTATAAGTACTCGATGCCGCGATTGTTAGTACTTGGACTTGTTTGTAAGTGGATGTTTCTCGAAAAAGACACAGGCAGTAATTATGCTTAACAGAAAGCCTTTCTCTTTCAGCTTTGTTTGGGATTTAAATCTTAGATGTTGTTATTGATACATTTTCCACCTCCAAGTATGCTCTTGTCATTCATGTGTTTAGCGTGAGTATCTATATAGCGTTTCACTGACTAATAAAATGGATATCTATGTCAGTGTGAGAAGTAGTACCAATATCAAAACTAACTGCTCACTTTCTTTTCAACAAGCGCGTTGGGAAAGAAGGGGACATGTCTAAGATTATGAGGCTCTGATTCATTTCTTTCTTTTCTCAGGAGCTAAGCAGCGAATCATTCGAATAGAGTTAGCACAATCTCGACTTTATCACAAATTTACTAGTCTACAGCCAATGGTAGCCTCAACGGATGCCCAAGTTGATACTCTGAAGGCCAGAGTGCGAGGAAATAGCAAGCTTGAGATAATAGATATCGTTGAGATAATAGATATCGCCCAAAACCCCTTTCTCTTTCAACGTGCAAGAGAAATTTCAACTTGCAAGAGAACATTTTCTCGGCAAACTACCTACAAGATATTATGAACATTTTTCATGGAATTTAGGCGAATCCCATGAATATAGTGGGCGGAGCATTTGCAGACATATGAACACGTTAGAAACTTGTTGAATCCCTATTTGAATTTTTATTCTACAGCAACTTTTCGTACTGTCTAGTCATCAAGAAGAACCGCCACGTGTACCTACCTATATGTTATCAGGCATTGTCAATATGCTCCGCCCGCCATACTCTTGTGAGTGAGTAGACGATATAAAGGAGGTACTGTGACACAATAGAGCTCATTGTTCGAATTTCTAGCAGATCCCCACTAAGAAAAAGCGCCCATTTGCATGAGCTAGTAAAGACTCGACAAAGACAATTATGTCCTGCTGTGTTGATCCTATGTGAGACAAGGTATTGAATGAGAGAAAAAGCTAGCAATTCGGGTAGTAGTGACGTCCAGCTTCCTTATCTACCTCCAGCTAAGTAGTCCTTCGAGACCTTTGACTGGAAAAGGTACACGTCTCATTACTAGTGAAGCTGTAAACACAGCGAACCGTACTAAAGCGAGGACCTTTTTCATATATTCAAAATCTCCAAACGTTGATGCTGCCAGCAAGTGAGCGAGCCCTAGGTCCCGACACGCGGTGAGGGCGCCACGCGACCGCCCGCGCAGCCGGTTAAGTAGATTTAGATGGCGCCCTAACAAACATCAGCTGACCTGCAGTCATGCTCGTCATTTCCTGTCGATCTTATCTGCTCTTTCACGCTGAAACTGAACCTACATTGCGAAATTAAATCCAAGCATTGCCGAACAGGAAGCGCAAATAGAGACTCTCATGACATGCGGTTATGACGAAACAAAAAGCGAAATAGCGTTGCGATTCTCATTCTAGCACTCCATAAAGCTGTTGCATAGAAACATGCTCCTTTACAAAAACTAGTGACTCATAACTTCGACGAACTTTTCTTCTAATTTGCCGAAGTTCTCGAGTTTCCGTTTACATAGCTTAGATATTTCGTAAGCTGTTTGTGCTAGTGTTGGTGTCGTTACATTTTTATCCACGCGCCAGTATCGATCGAGGCTGGGGCTGGGGTTTGATTATTCCGTGTGTCTCTCTCCTCGCAGTACTCCTCACAATTTTCCGAACGACTTCGTGATGTTCCGCTATAGTCTGCCGACTGTTCAGTTTCGCACTCGTTTTGATCCGTTTCGCTTTGTTTGTCCTCTTGTGCAATTGAAATGTTGAAGGTAACCAACAACTACACGGCTGTTGTACCGCGACGATCACGATGTCGGTTGTTCTATCACGAATAGTTACGCTAACTGCAGGAACCTTATATCCAGCTTATAGGAGTTACAAGGTGAGTTGACAATCTTAGATCCACATTTTTTGATTCTTTTTTGTTTATACCTACGCAAACACTTTGCCCTCCATCGTTTGATTCTGATGTTCTAACTACATCTAACATAAGTAAAGAATACGATTTGCATTTTTTTGTTTGACTAGTTAATAGAAATGTAACACCAGTGGATATCGAAAACTCATATCTTCATTTTATGAAGGGTTTGCATTCATGTTGTGCCAAAAGCTCGTAAATGTGTACAAAGCACACATCGTTATCGTAGATGCTTTAGCAACGGTTATTTATCCATCTGCTCACACTTAGCATTGTTAGCTAGCTGTTAGTTCGCTTTGCGTTTGCTGTGAGGGTTTTTGAGAGCTTTATGAAAAACCCTATAATAGATGTTAGGGCCGAACATCTTGTGAATTTCGAGAGACTACGCAGAACTTGTTTTCATTTTTTTAAAATATGAACATGTAGCGTATTCTCGTATGCAGACAGTGCACAGCTACTGTGCGATTTTGAAGGTAGTGCGTATAATAGCGGAGCTTAAACTACCCAATTTCTGGATATAAAAGTCTTTGGCATCAGCTAAATTCGAAATGACTTCCAGTAAAAATTGCATGGAGGCTTCAGGCTGAAATTTCATTTTCCATAAACATTTATAAATCTACCCTCGCTGATGCAGACTGAAAGCAGTCAGTGCTTTCGATGAGGAACTGAATTGTATGGCAAATAGCACAGTCGCCTGTAGTACAAGTACGGCAGTTTGAGTTATTTGGAATACATAGATTCTGATTTGTCCCTTGCATAAGTGATCATAAAAGTATAAGCGGTGCACAAAAAGAACATCATTATATTTTTTCTGCAGTAGTGATTTATATGGCCTCTCAGATTGCACACAATTTAGGCTGTTCGAACGAAGGATGTACGAGAATATGTAAAATGGATGATGTATTGGATAGTTTTTGCGCTATACACCTTCATAGAAACTCTTGCCGATATCTTTATCTCATTCTGGTTCCCCTTCTATTACCAACTGAAAATCGTCTTCGTATTTTGGTTACTCAGTCCGTGGACCAAAGGAGCTTCAATATTATATCGGAAGGTCTGTTCAATCATTTTTCTTTTGAGCATATAACATATAAGCAGGTTATTGGTGGTGCATGGTGGTAGTTACTATAGTTTAAAGCATACATGGAATGCTGCCTTATAACAATTTATTTAAAGTTCTAGGCTATATATTTGTGAAACATCCGTTTCGGCTGTTTTTTGTCCTTTGTATAATGAGGCGTCGAATCACCATGATTCGTGCTTTAAGTCCTGTTAAGACACTCAATTCACGCATAAAATGGCATTCTTGATAAATTGTGCTAGGCTATTTAGAATTTTTGCGCTAGAACTACTATCAATTTATGGCGAGAGTATGCAGTAGCTATATGTGGTACTTGCGCGCGATTTTCTCTATATTCTGCTACTGAACTCTCACAGTAAAATTTATCTGCGTTTTCCAGTGGATCCACCCTACACTTTCCAAACACGAACAAGAAATTGACGCTCTCCTTGAACAAGCGAAATCTGAGAGCTACAATCAAGTAAGTGACTACTATATTTGCTCTGCATATCTATACTAAAGACCTTTCGTTGCCTTATAGGCTGCAAGAAAGTTCTCGGAAGCTCTTGAGAAAATTGTCATCTGATCTTTCTATCTTTCCTTTTCAAAGCTGTCTATATATCCGTTTCTTTTCATTGTTGTAACAGCTTATTGTATATTTTGATTTGCTTTCGCACGCATGTAACGGGGAGCTCAATCAGATGAAGCATAATTGATCCTCAAGCGAACATGAGACTCCCCCCCCCCAGATGCACTTGTACTGCGCTTTTCATTGAGTTCTTTTAAAATAAGCAGTGGGCGAGCAGATGCGTAGTGTACAGTTTCTACTTTCAATAGGAAAATGACCTGGGTAGCGGCAATGATGGCTTTACAACACTCTTGGGTAGTCTCTATGGATCTGATCTGATTCTATCTACTTACTCGTAGTCCTTACATGAACCTTATCTCAGTTGTAATAATTCTCGTATAGTTACATACCAACAGAATAAAATTCAAAGTTGTGAGTTGTTATGTCGATGATATACATCTCTAATGATCCTTGTGCTGATTATACTTGTAGGAATATGTTTTCTTCTATCAATAGTCCCGGTTTTTTAGCTAGTTCGTCTGGGCAGTCGAAGCTTATTATGTGCACGAGACATAGTTGCTGAAGCAGCCCTACGTGGACAAGCTCAGTTGGTCAATCAGCTGCAGAGGTGAATTTTCTTATTACTTATAGATGTTTGGATTTTATTTCTGATGTCTCGCCTTTTTTTTTTGAAATTCTGTGGTGTCTCGTCTTTCTTTGGAAATTATGAGTGTTGTGTTGTGGTATTGCTGCGCGTTGAGGCCCTATCAAGACATAGCTAATCAGCGCTTTTTTGGAGCTAACTGTGCTTTGTTTTGGCGCATCGAAAAAAGTTCTTCTGATGACTTTTTAGTGGCCGATTGCCCAGTGATTTGAAGTGCCCTAATTTTGAGAGAGCATTTCAAAGCTTTTGGAAATAGGTGAGCTTCGGCTTTCGGCTCAGAGATCTCGATATGGAACAGGTACATTGTATGTATGCAGCTTTGTTTCGTTTTCCAAATTGGGACCTCAAGTACTTTTGAACATGCATGCTAAGAGTTGACGAAGAGATTTTTTTTTGCGTTGAAAAGGAACATTCATGCTATGGTATGTTTTGGGCTCTCCGTACATCTATATATTCCCCTAAAACTACCAAGATGGACATTTGAAAGTATGTATTCATCAGTCTATTTGAATTTCTCTAGTATTTCTGCACTTTCTCTTCATTCACAGCTGTGCTGTATCGTTCCGAAAAATTACTTTATGTTCTCAAGTGGAAGAAATCTTTCCTGGAATAAATTCGATATATTCCTGAATTGCTGCCTCATTTCGCCTAATACCTTGAAATTCTGAGTTTAGCAATGATTAGTTTATTTTGTTTCAGGTCTTATAGTGCAAATGACGTGAATCTAGAGCGTATAGAATCTCCTCGAAAACGTATACAGGTAGAAGGCATCCAAGAATTAGAGGACGAGAATAGTGAGAATGGGTCGGATGACCAACAATCAGGAGACGAAGGAGTGCGTATAAATGAGCAGTTGTTCAATATAACTGATCGGAATTGTTTACGTATTTTAGGCGCCCCGTCGACGTACAAATCGTTCTCGATCTCGGTCGCGTCCGCTTGAAGGAGGCGAGAACACATACAACACAATGCCTCGGAGAAGTGCACGTAGACATTTGTGAAGTCTAGAGTATTTTTGCAATCTTTAGAAATTTCCCAAATTTCCCATCTTCATTCGGGTCATGTAGTGAGTGACACATTCTGCTCTATATTGCAGTTACTTCGAAGTGAAGTTTGATTATGCCGTGAATCGTTGTACCACCGCAAAGTTAAACTGTGCTCACCATAGCCAGTAACATGTTTCCTATCTTTCTTAAGTCTTGCAACTGAGTGTTGCCTTAGATTCTAGACTTCCTCTCTCGCTGGGTTTGTCTGTAGTTTTCCTCACTCCCTCTTTCATTTCCTACGCGCAAGCATAATTTCAGGAACGGTAGTATCTCTGGTCATATATGCTTCCTCCTTTCGCTGTACTACACTCTCTGAGATTCGTTATCAATTGTCAATGGTTCTTCGTGTTGCATCGAATTCGAGATTGAAGCTATCTATCACATGAGTGCAAATTTCGTAGCTACTGTGACGGCAATCTCAGCTTGTCAATGATTAGTTAGTTTTTCACACAAAGCATGCTCACAGCAAAGGTTTCCCTCTCCAGCTTCTCTTAATGGTGAAGTTTTAGCACTGTCTTGATTCTCGTCAATCAAGCACAATCAGGTTCACACTTCACCAAAATCTCCTTTGTTCCTAAGTTCTAGGTTATTCCAATGAGGACGTTAGTTTGTGCCTTTATTCCCATATCCCAGGCTTTCTCTCACGTTTTTTCCCTTTGTCACAGTTATTTTGCAACTTTTGGTTGGAATATGCACGGTAGCTTGTTGCTTTCATTTTTCTTTACGTTGCCAGTCTGTGAATGGACATCATTTGATTGTATAACAACTTAACCAATGGATTTATGCTCACTGTACAGTAAATATAACAACATATGACGTGCTTAGTTCAAGAATACTTCGCAAGTCCATTTTTCCAAAAGTCACGTATCGATGCATGATCCGACGAGGTTCAGCCTGTGATCTCTAGCGCAAACTCTGCTCTCAAAATCTGGCGATTTGGATTTAGAACGTGTGATTCAAGCACGACCTGTCATCGGTCCACCTCATTTCATTTTCTACAGGGTGTCCCAAAAAGGTGTGCCTAGTGTTTGGTTAATACCTTTTGTAATAAAGTCTTTCGAGAAGCTTCAAATGCCATTCTGTAGAGCTCGCTTCCAGCTAGATTGCAGAATAGAGAGAAGCCCCGATCGCCCATTCATACTTTAGTATTACTGTAAGAAGTTCGAAGAAGATTTTGAGTCGCTACGGGCCATACCTGTGAATAGTCGGATAAGCTGAAATTTCTCATACTGGGCTAATCAGAGTAGCTGATTCCAAATATTAGGTCGTTCCGAAAGTAATGTCGCTTTTTTCAGACGTACGCCACATCTCGTGGAACTAAGATGTGTAAGAGATTTTAGCAGCATTTGATGCAGCATTTCATTCTATTTTTAACGGTTATATAAGCGCTGCACAAAATTCAATAACTTCTCGAAAAATTATCAAAATCGGCGACCCATGCTTTCTCAGAAGGCCAAGTTTCACAATTTTTTCTAAATTTTCATAACAATCCTCGGAAGGGGCTCAAGTAATAGATGGATAGAGCAAACCCTACAGGAAACAGCACAACTTTTTTCTACTATCCAGAGCTCGTCATAATTTTTGTATAGATTTTTTGATAGAACCACCGAATTTTAGCAGGCTCGTCTCAGACACAAATGCATCAAACACCAGTAAATCTTCGGATTTTGAAATTTACAAAGATGTATTATGGCTTGACACTAATTTTACAAATCAAATGAACTTACTGCTTCAGATTAGCAACTTTCGAAAATTCGGGGTACAGCCTGGGGCGCCCTGGAAAACCTCAAATATGATGATTTTATTCCGGAAAACTTGATGAATCGGAGACAAAAAACAACTGGTAGAAAGAGGAGAAGAAGCTGCGTCGAATAACACTTCATTTGCTTGTCATTGTTGTTCTTTGAGGTTTGAGATGACCAATTACGAAACTCAGTAGCATTGAATAATTTATTCCAGAAACTCTAAGAAGCAAGCTAAGGAGAAGAAAAAATTACTCTGTGTCCTATGACGTTTGCTCTATCTAACAGTCACTTTTACTTATTCGAAGAATAGATACAAAAATTAAGAAAAATAGCCGAACTTGACCATGGCAAAAAGCATTAGTCGCAGATTTTTGTAATTTTTCGAGAGCTCGTTAAATAGTATGCAATGAAATTACAACCATTACAAAGAGGATGAAATGCTGCATCGAATGCTTCTAAGAACTCCTGAAAATCTTGATTCCATGAAATGTGGCGTTCATTTGAAAAAAGCGACATTACTTTCGGAACGACCTAATATGAAACCAGCACTTCACGGTAATGCTTATAAGCTACTAGCTGGCTTACCCGGCTCCGCCGTATGTTCCAAATAGAAAATTCCATTTCTTAACCGATCCGGACCAAACTTGACACACATACACTTCGGGCCCCGGCGGGTGTCACAGTCCACTTTTCGCTATATCGATGTCGATTTTATTGATTTTTTGCAAAATTTGAGCTAGGGGGCTGGAATTTGGCAGGGGAGGGGGGTGTAATCGAGCAGGCTGATCACCCCCACGGGGGTGATCAGCATGCTCGATTACCCCCCTGTGCCAACTCCCAGCCCCGTAGCTCAAATTTTGCAAAAAATCGATAAAATCGATATCGATCGATGACGAAAAGTAGCCTATGACACCCGCCAGGGAGGTGTATGTTTGCCAAGTTTGGTCCCGATCGGTTCAGAAATGGAATTTTCTATTCGGAACATACGTACAGACAGACATACAGACAGACAGACAGACATACAGACAGACAAACAGACATTCAGCTTTATATATAAGATTTAGACATGCCGTAATGACCGTTTTTCGAGCTGCTTCAGAATCTGATTACATCATTTGTAAAGTTCCTAAAGCTAGTAAAAAGTTGTGTAATGGAATCAGCATGCGTGAAAACATTGTAACAGAATTTCCCACGTTTTTTTGGAATATTTTTCTTGAACGATCAGCTTCACGGTGGCGCTATATGCTGAAAGTCTACAGTAATCCTACAGTAGGAAAGAGTGATCGGTGATTCGCTCCATACTGTAAGTCTGAGTTGAAGCCAGCTTTACAAAATGGCACTTGAAGCTTCTCAATCAGGGCTCGACACAGCTGGCACCGGGTCAAGCTGGATATCGTTTTTGGGGCGCAAAGCGAAGGGGATATCGTTTTGGGTCCGGGGCGGAGAGGAGCCGCCAGAATGCCACTGGCACGCCACCGGCATGCCGTTCATCAAGCAGACAAAGGCGTTGCTTCCAGCCAAAACGTAATAGTACGATACGAAAATTTGATGTGTGTGCGTTGCGGGACCCGAACTGTGGCCCAAAAATTTATGAGAACAAATGTGAAAAAAAATGGAAGCTGTGCTGAACTTTTTTCTAAATCAGCTGGCACCGTGCCAGTTGGGTGCCAGCTGAGCTGGCACCGACCCTTTGCTCACATATCATTCATTCTAGGACTAGGAGACGCGAGACCGCTTTGCACACATTGTCTAAACAAGCTTAATCGTGTACTTAGCAGGTTTATACCTGTCATTTATCTCGCCCACGTTTATTCACTCTTTGGAAACAGGGATGAACAAATTCATTGTTAAGACAACCGCAATGCGGTCACGCGTCTCCTAGTCGTAGAATAGATGATAAGTGTTACACTTTTTTTACATAAAATGTATCTACATTGTAAGAGTTTACACAGAAAAAACAATTTTATGATGTTTTCTTTTCGGCCTTTTATAGCCATCTGAAAATTTCTCTGTCTGCTCCGCAGTCAAAAAAAACCGCTTTTTAACTGCTAAAATGTGAACCACTCGAAAAGCTCAGAAAACTTGCGAAAGTTGATATCATGTGTGAAACCCCTATTTGTAAAAATGACGGGTTTTCAAAGGTCAACGGAGGCTTCGTACGAAATTTTCAGGACCAGAGAGGACTTCGTTCTGAAAATTTCCTGGTGCCAGCTCGTGCCGAGCCCTGTTCTCAGTAGACTTTATGACAAGAGAGTTTTTAACAGTCAAACAGTTGTCACATTTTTGGGACACCCTGTATAACTCGAGATACAGGAGCAGTCTGTATGACTTGATTGGGGTAGTCTATAGCCGCCGATAGGCTCCACCCTGCGCAGATGGGTAGAGACTATATGTCGCCGTAAGGGATGGCGTTGTCCGGGTGGGGTGGAGCCTATCGACGACATTGCCCCTCTCAGACATTCGCAATTGACTCGCGCAGGACAAAACGAGGTGTACTCAGAATGCCGAAATCGGTGTCGGGACAAAGTCAGGACGTCTGGTTCTGGGATAAAGTGCGCGACAATACCAAATGTTCCGACCGACGCATTCCTGTCAGAATCGGGAGACACTATAATATCCCGATCGCGTTCTGAAACCTATGCCCTTTTTAACGGCTTTTTGTAATCTCTGTATGCTCGCTTACGCTCTTTTCTTTCATTACCTTGCGTGATCTCCTCTCTCACGCCTATTTTTTCTAATCAAGTGAAGCAACTTTGTGTGCCGCAATATTTGTTGGAAAATACCAGACATCTTGCTTTTGAGTACACTTTACGCAAAGTGATTAAAAAACAGCGAGTACATCTTCAAAAATGAGCTCTATATCCTATATCGTATCACACAAGGACCACGAGGCGGACCGAGGAAAACCACAAATGCGATGCAAAAATTATTACGCGTTCGTTTTGAAGACGTCTTCAACTTCGACGCACTCTCCCTCCCCCCCCCCCCAATCATCCCTGAGTTGTTGCTACCTGCGGTCGTGACACGCCTTTTTTGAAAATCAAGAGTTATTCACGACAATAATCATATGAAGCTAATTACAGGGTGAACGGTAAAAAATGGGACACCTAGAGAATAATTATAGATCCTTCAAGTAAGAGAAGTGATTGAACTTTCCAATTTTGATAGATATTAGAATGTATTGCTCTCTTCAAGGAGCACCTCAACATACTCAATAATTTTTATACTTGCTGAAATGCAAAGTTAGTCACTTCGACAAATTATAAACTTTAAACAATATTTGCGCAGTGAAAGATGTGAGACCATCCAAAGTACCACTGCTGCAATGGGTGAAGGTACAGTCGCCAAACCCACGATGGCTTGCCGGCCGCAACGGTTAAACTT